AACCCATCAGATTATCACCTACTCTCCTCTCCTTTAGGCGCACCCTGAAAACCCATCTCTTCAGGGAAGCCTACCTCACCCCTTGCTAACTTGCTGACCTCCTCCACTCTTCCTACCACTCCATCCCCCACAGCTATCTCCTCCTGTACCACTATCCCACCCCTTCTAGATTGTAAGCTCCAAGGAGCAGGGCCCTCGATCCCCTCATGTTTTGCATTGTATTGGTATTGTTCTGTCACATGTTCTGTCCCCCTTTGTAATGTACAGCGCTGAGTGAACTATTGGCGCTTTATAAATACTGTATAATAATAATAATAATAATAATAATAATCCCGGAGGTGTGGCCAGGTGATAGGGGCAGCATATCATCCCGCCCACACATCGCCTGAGACAGAGGAGCGGTGTCTCGGTTCCTAAGACCATCGGAAATATGTGTTTTCCGATGGTCTTAGGCGACCCCTGTGAAATGGTCGTTCGACCCCCAAAGGGGTCGCGACCCCCAGGTTGAGAACCGCTGACCTATAGTAACTCTTCTTCTTTTTTATTGAAGGTATATAATGGATTCTAAGCAGAAGCAATGTGCCTTCATTGAGTTCTTGACGAAGGAGGGGTGCAAGCTGTCTGACATCCACAGAAGGCTACAGAATGTTTACGGAGATGACACCATTGACAAGAGGAATATCTTGTCATTGGCGACTCTTGTGAATGGTGTCATCTCTGCAAATATTCTGTAGCTAACAATCAACCCAGTTAGATTTTTTTTAAAGCCTAATCACTATTGTAACCACCAAACAGGGCCTGTACAAGCATTTCTGCCACCATTCCTCTCCCTCCTTCACAGACATTAATATGCACACCTGAGCAGAGGCGTCCCTAGGGTTGGTGTCACCCGGTGTGATAACACTTGGTGACACCCCCTCCAATGATCTCCACAGAATGGATCGGATCTGCAGATTGGGGAGGATAATGGGTCTGACTCCAATCCATTATGCTCAATCCACAGATCCGATCCATCCTGCGGGGATCGTCGGCTTGCTTTGCAACTTACCTTTTCGTGAAGCGGGTCCGGTGTCACCCCGTATAGGTTGCATGCCGACGATCCCCGCAGGATGGATCGAATCTGCGGATGGAGCATAATGGATTGAAGTCCGATCCATTATCCTCCCCAATCCACAGATCTGAGAGTGGTGCAACACCCATAACCGGTGGACTATCGATCGATGGAAGACTGTAAAATAGTCCGATGAATTGAGCTTCACACTGTTCTCAACCAACAGACGTATTTACATGTGGAGAACGCCATCCCAAGCTTACCACCAGGACTGTCTTGTGCCAACGATAAAGCGTGGTGGTGGTGCAGTCATAATAATAACAGAGTGCAGCGCTAAGAGAAAAGTGCAAAAAGCAAATAGTCCGTAGTTGTTAACTGAATATAAATAAATAGTTCCAAGAAATAACTGATGAAGACCAGGAAACAATGGAAAGAGTGCGCACTCACCGGACGCGCATGGAAAATGCGCATAAATGAATATCTCCTGGAATCCTAGAGTAGATGGAAAGGGTGAATTCCAATCTATGGATCAATCAGCCTGGGAAGATGTATCAAAGATCCGGTGGTGCAGTCATGGTCTGGGGAGCCATATCTTGGCATTCTGAAGGCCCCATCATCACCTTGAAAGGCAGAGTCACTACTAGCGACTATGCACAAATTTTGGCCGACCATGTGCACCCCATGGTGCAGACATTGTTTCGCCAAGACGGCGCCATTTACCAAGACGATAATACTCCGATTCACACAGCTGGTGTTGTCACATTTTGGTATGATGCGCCTGCAGATGAAGTCTCGCACCTTCCGGTTATCATAGAGCCACTGCAGTCAATTTTGGAGAACAAGATTCGGGCTCGTTTTCCGCCTCCGGCATCTCTGCGAGACCTGAAGCGGTTTTTGCAGTTTCAAGAGTGTTTCAGATTTCATTATCCATCATCCAAGACTTCTGTTTGTCAATTCCCAGGAGAATTCAGGTGGCCTTGGATGCCAAAGGCCGTCCAACACGTATTACGTAACAATTTAGTTATTTTACCTGGTGTTAACATCATTTTGTCCAACCCCTGTAGAGATGCAAATGGTAGTAGCCATGTGGGTATGAGTAAGGCATATTCAGTTGTTTGCTGAAATCCCCAACCAGCACAAATCTTTGCTTCCACCATTCCCCCTCCCCACTCAAATCCTCTCCCTTCCAAAATCTCCCACCGCAGCACAAATCCTGCATCCCTCAAGATTCCCCTCTGAGCATAAATCCTTTCCCCCTCCAAATCCCCCTCTTAGCACCAATTCTCCCTCTCAAAAATTTCCCCTCCTAGCACAAATCCCCCCATTCATCCCTACTAGCACAAATCCCCCCCCCCACTAAATCCCTTTTTCTCACACAAATTCCCTCTCCCCATGACCCCCCCCGCCCCCAAGCACAAATCCCATTCATCCCTACTAGCACAAATTCCCCCCAACTAATCCCTCTTCCTCACACAAATCCCCTCTCCCCTTGAAATGCCCCCCTCCCCCCCAAGCACAAATCCCCCACAATCATTTGCACTGGGGGGCAAGGGCGGACTGACCATTTGGGAACTCAGGCATTGCTCGAGGGCCCGGGGTCAGTAGGGGGCCCCATGAGATGCCCCTGGTACCTTTCATAGGCTTTTTTGGGTGTGGTTTGAGTGTGGGCAAGGACACAGGGGCCCCATGATCCCCTATTACCCGGGGGCCCAATGAGTTGTCAGTCCGCCCCTGCTGGGGGGTTTGTACAGGAAGAGGGAGATTTTTTTTGTTTTGGTAGAGTTTTGGTTTGAAAGAGAATTTATGCTTGGGGATAAGCATGCCGATTAGGGCTCAAAATTGGGGGGAGGGGATTTTTGCTGACACATAAAGCTTATACAATTTGGGGGGGGGGGGGGCAGGGGCAGATTGACAACTCATGGGGCCCCCGGGCACTAGGGGATCATGGGGCCCCGTGTCCTCGCCTACACTCAAACCACACCCAAAAAAGCCTATGAAAGGTACCAGGGGCATCTCATGGGGCCCCCTACTGACCCCGGGCCTTCGGCAGTGCCCGAATTCCCGAATGTTCAGTCCGCCCCTGCTGGGGGGTTTGTACAGGAAGAGGGAGATTTTTTTGTTTTGGTAGAATTTTGGTTTGAAAGAGAATTTATGCTTGGGGATAAGCATGACCTCCTCTAGCTAATTGCAAGAATTAAAACAAAACAAACCTGAATACCCGAAAAAAAATTTTGCACTATAATTTCATATATGTTGGGTATAAACCCAATACACGTCATTATTTTCCTACGAGATCCCATTGGGGTTGATTTGCTAAAACTGGAAAGTGCAAAATCTGGTACAGCTGTGCATGGAAGCCAATCAGCTTCCAACTTCAACTTGTTCAATTAAGCTTTGACAATAAAACCTGGAAGCTAATTGGCTTCTATGCAGAGCTGCACCAGATTTTGCACTCTCCAGCAGGGGCGAACTGACCATTCGGGCACTCGGGCACTGCCCGAGGGCCCAGGGTCAGTAGGGGGCCCCATGAGATGCCCCTGGTACCTTTTTCATAGGCTTTTTTGAGTTTGGGCAAGGACACAGGGGCCCCATGATCCCCTATTGCCCGGGGGCCCCATGAGTTGTCAGTCCGCCCCTGCCTTGGACCCATTTTCAGACCCTACGCTGGTGCAGTGGGTCCTGGGTTCCTCCTGGTGCAGACAATGCCCGGCCTCATGGGGGAGAACAGGGGCGGACTGACCATTCGTGCACTCGGGCACTGCCTGAGGGCCCGGGGTCAGTAGGGGGCCCCATGAGATGCCCCTGGTACCTTTCATAGGCTTTTTTGGGTGTGGTTTGAGTGTGGGTGAGGACACAGGGGCCCCATGATCCCCTATTGCCCGGGGGCCCCATGAGTTGTCAGTCCGCCCCTGGCTTATACATTTTTTTCAGGGGGGGGGGCACCTTTTGGCATCTCCGCCCTGGGCGCTAGTCCTGGCACTGATTGGCAGTCCTGGTCACACATTCATCAAGCTAAAGGGAAAATTCCATTGCAAAGCGAACAGCCTATTTGCCTTTAGTAAACCAACCCATAACGTATAAAAGCCTCGTTTAATGGAGGACATGCCTAGAAAAAAAATCCAAAAAATGCACGCTATAAAAAAGGCAAAGATTAACTTTCTGCAAAATCGTCTGATTTCACAACAAAAAGCAATCACAAAACTCCTGACAAGCTAAAAGGGAAACCTTCGCCACGAGGTCAGGTTATTACAATTTTTTTACAGTTCACGTATCCTACTGTCAGTTCTGAGAAACCCTTTTGATTTAATGGAGTCAGATGTTTAGCTGGTATATGAAAGCATTTCACAAACCATATTTTGTTTGGCTTGCTCGCCGACAAATTAAAATCACTTCAGTATTAACTGTGGAAAACTAACATTTCAAAGGCTTTGATGTGTGCGCAATCCATATTTTCTGCATTTGGAGACGCCGTCAATGTGTTTTGCACCTGTTTTTGGGGTGAAAATCTATTCCTTGCCTTTTTTTTTTTCTCTCATAATTTGATGTCTACAAGAAAATGTATTTCGCTGCAATACCACAAAGCTGAATCCAGCTTCCTAAAAATGTCCAAAACAAGCCGAGCGTATTTATTTTCTGTGTCGACTTCCAACTTGTATCTCCAAGGGGGACTAGGAAAAATATTATGACAAATTCAATATCGGTCAACGTCAGCGGCGGAAGGTCACCTGTCCGCTGCGTCTGCGGGGATCCTGACTGAGCAAGCTGTCCGTCACGGACCTGGACCCCCAATGCTGTGACCCACCGTGGCTTGTGCGCTACGGAGCGAAGGATTCTGGGGGCAAGTTTTATGATTGACGTCTCGGCTGCTGTTTGCAGAGATCCACGGGAGGTTAGGGGAAGAGGGGGCGCTTGGCTTGCTTAGTAACTAAAAACAGAAAAAGAAAAAAACCTCACAGGGGGTAAAGTGTTGGAATGAGGGCAGCGAGGTGACTTTCATGGCGAGAAACTGAACACAATGGGTTTGATTTACTAAAACAGGAGAGCAAGGCTGGACTGACAACTCATGGGGCCCCTGGACAATAGGGGATCATGGGGCCCCTGTGTCCTCACCCACACTCAAACCACACCCAAAAAAGCCTATGAAAGGTACTAGGGGCATCTCATGGGGCCCCCTACTGACCCCAGGCAGTGCCCGAGTGCACGAATGGTCAGTCCACCCCTGCTCTCCCCACATTAGGCTGGGCATTGTCTGCACCAGGAGGAACACAGGACCCACTACACCAGCGTAGGGTCTGACAATGGGTCCAAGGCAGGGGCGAACTGACAACTCATGGGGCCTCTGGACAATAGGGGATCATAGGGCCCCTGTGTCCTCACCCACACTCAAACCACACCCAAAAAAAGCCTATGAAAGGTACCAGGGGCATCTCATGGGGCCCCCTACTGACCCCGGGCCCTCAGGCAGTGCCCGAGTGCACGAATGGTCAGTCCGCCCCTGTTCTCCCCCCATGAGGCCGGGCATTGTCTGCACCAGGAGGAACCCAGGACCCACTGCACCAGCGTAGGGTCTGACAATGGGTCCAAGGCAGGGGTGGACTGACAACTCATTGGGCCCCCGGGCAATAGGGGATCATGGGGCCCCTGTGTCCTCACCCACACTCAAACCACACCCAAAAAAGCCTATGAAAGGTACCTGGGGCATCTCATGGGGCCCCCTACTGACCCCGGGCCCTCAGGCAGTGCCCGAGTGCACGAATGGTCAGTCTCCTGCCCCTGCTCTCCCCACATGAGGCCGGGCATTGTCTGCACCAGGAGGAACTCAGGACCCACTGCACCAGCGTAGGGTCTGAAAATGGGTCCAAGGCAGGGGCGGACTGACAACTCATGGGGCCCCCGGGCAATAGGGGATCATGGGGCCCCTGTGTCCTTGCCCAAACTCAAAAAAGCCTATGAAAAAGGTACCAGGGGCATCTCATGGGGCCCCCTACTGACCCTGGGCCCTCGGGCAGTGCCCGAGTGCCCGAATGGTCAGTTCGCCCCTGCTGGAGAGTGCAAAATCTGGTGCAGCTCTGCATAGAAACCAATCAGCTTCCAGGTTTTATTGTCAAAGCTTAATTGAACAAGTTGAAGTTAGAAGCTGATTAGCTGCCATGCACAGCTGTACCAGATTTTGCACTTTCCAGTTTTAGCAAATCAACCCCAATGGGATCTCGTAGGAAAATAATGACGTGTATTGGGGTTATACCCAACATATATGAAATTATAGTGCAAAAAAATGTTTAGGGTATTCAGGTTTGTTTTGTTTTAATTCTTGCAATTAGCTAGAGGAGGTCATTTTTGTAGGGGGTGGTTCCTTGGTTGAAGTTATATGTAAGGGGAAGAGTTATCTTTTAATGTTTTTTCTCTATGGGATATAATACATGTAGTACTTTGTGCCATGTTTCTAAGTGATTGCTAACAAAGTTATGAGGTTCGACCTGCCACCCTCCCCTCCTGCTGTGGCCATTCCGACAACAGCTAGGAAAGAGATGGCTGATTCAGAGATGCAGCTTATCTCAACAAAAGCAACTATAGAAGGAATTCAGAGGGAGGACATATCACCAGGCAGCGACTAGGTCACCCATTCTACAGTCAAAAAAAGAGCAGACTCGATGCATCAGATGACCAAGGATTGAGGCATTTAGAGCATTTGGGGTTTTTTTGTTTTAATTCCTATGATTAGGTAGAGAGGGTCATTTTTTTTAGGGAGGGGGGTTCCTTGGTTGGAGTTCAACTTAAAGAAGAGCTGTCATTATAATTTTTATTTTATAGTCCTGTCCCCTATGGGATGAAGTAAATGTAGTACTTTGTCCCATGTTTCTAAGTGATTTCTAACTCTAGTTATGAGGTATGACTTTCCACCCTCCCCTCCTGTCTTGGCCAACCCAACGACAGCTAGGAAGGAGACGGTTGATTTGTAGATGCAGCTTATCGCAGCTCAGAGCACTCTCCCTAGACAAGCAATGGCAAGAGGAATGCAGAGGAATGGTGGACATGTCATCAGGCAGCGATGAGGCCACCCGAAGTAAGACCCTCCCATTCTTCAGCCTAAAAAAGTGAATACTCGGTGCATCACGTGACCATGGATGTACACTAGACATTTAGGGCATTTTCAATTGGAAATGTCCATATCACCAGGCAGCGGTGAGGTCACCCAAAGTAAGATCCTCCTTTCTGCAGCTTAAAAAAGAGAAGACTTTGTGCATCACATGACCACATATTAAGGCATTTAGGTTTGGTTTGTTTTAATTCCTGTGATTAGTTAGAGGGAGTCATTTTTTTTTTAGGGGGGTTCCTTGGTTGGAGTTGGACTTAAAGAAGATGTATCATTATAATTTTTTACAGTTCTGTCCCCTATGAGACAAAGTACATATAGTACTTTGTCCTATGTTTTAATGTGATTTCTAACTCTAGTCATGAGACCTGACCTGCCACCCTCCCCTCCTGCCGTAGAGATCCTACAACAGCTAGGAAGGAGACGGCTGATTCAAAGCTGCAGTTTGTCTTGGCTCTGATCACTTACCTGAGACAAGCAATGGCAAGAAGAATGCAGAGGGAGGAGGGATGTGTCAGCCTCTGAATTCCTTTTGATGTTGCTTGTTTCAGGAAAGTGCTCAGGAAAGTGCCCAAATTCTCCCCATTTCCCCAATACCTGGGCCACCATCATTTTCCTTTAACCAACACACACAGCATCCCCTATCCTCTAACAACGGCTGCAATCCACACAATCTGGTGTCTATCCCTCTTCTTCTAGAACCAGCCTCCCCTTTTCCTGTGCCCTCTGGAATGCCCACTCTCTCTGTAACAAAATCACCTCTGTCCATGACCTTTTTATCACAAACTCCTTTAATCTACTTGCAATTACCTGGCTTCATGAATCTGACTTTCCCTCTCCTGCTGCCTTCTCCCATGGTGGCCTCCTCTGGACTCACTCTCCCAAGTCTAGTGGATGGAAGGGAGATGGAGTTGGAATCCTCCTATCCCCTCAAAGCACTTTTCAGGTCCTTCAGTCACCTCCCTCTCTTCATTTGAAGCTCACTGTATTCATCTATTCTCTCCAATTTCTTAGAGAATTTCTGTGATCTATCGGCCTCCTGGACCGGTATCGAATTTCTATAATGACTTATCTACCTGGCTACCCTACTTTCTCTCTTCTGAAACTCCCACAATCATTCTCTGAGACCTCAATATCCCTGTTGATCTTAACATTCCTGCTACTTCTGAACTTCTGAGTCTAACTTCCTCTTTTGACCTAAAACAATGGACGCATGCTTCTACTCACTCTGATGGCAACTGCCTTGACTTTGTATTCTCCTACCTATGCACTCCTTGCAACCTCACACACTTTCCTTTTCCTCTCTCTGATCATTCTCTTATTAGCTTCACTTTCTCCTTTTCTTCCTCCTCTTTGTCATCCAACTACCTCACAGTGACCTCTAGAAACTTTGCCATCTTCATTTCTCTGCAACAGATTGTCTCTGTGACAAATTCTCAGCCATGTCCTGCCCCAACCTGGCCACTTCTGTCTACAACAGTTGTACTGTCATCCACCGTGGACATATTGGCCCCCCTCACTACCCCACAGAATCAGGCCCTGACCGCTACAACCCTGGCAAACAGACAGTACCAGATGCCTCAAAAAATGTAGCGCACTCTTGAGCATCTGTGGTGTAAGACTAAGTCCCAGTATGACTTCGATCAATACAAGTCTGCCCTCCAAAAATACAATTCCTACCTCCACACTGCCAAACAGACCTATTTTATCACTATCATTAACACCTTCTTACGCAATCCCCATCAACTCTTTTCTACCTTTAACTCTCTCTACTTCGTCCTTCATTACCTCCACCCACTAACTCACTCACTGCCCAGGAGATCGCTAATCACTTAAAAAATAAGATTGATACAATTCGTGAAGAGATCTCCACTGTACAAATATCTCCCTCACCCTACCCTCCTTGTCCACCAGACATCTCCCTCACTCTACACTCCTTGTCCACCAGACATCTCCCTCACCCTACACTCCTTGTCCACCTGATATCTCCATCACCCTACACTCCTTGTCCACCAGATTGCTCCCTCACCCTACACTCCTTGTCCACCAGACATCTCCCTCACCCTACACTCCTTGTCCGCCAGACATCTCCCTCACTTTGCACTCCTTGTCCACCAGACATCTCCCTCACCCTACCCTCCTTGTCCACCAGACATCTCCCTCACTCTACACTCCTTGTCCGCCAGACATCTCCCTCACTTTGAACTCCTTGTCCACCAGACATCTCCCTCACCCTACACTCCTTGTCCACCAGACATCTCCCTCACCCTACACTCCTTGTCCGCCAGACATCTCCCCTCACTTTGCACTCCTTGTCCACCAGACATCTCCCTCACCCTACACTCCTTGTCCACCGGACATCGCCATCACTCTACACTCCTTGTCCCACCAGACATCTCCCTCACCCTACACTCCTTGTCCACCAGACATCTCCCTCACCCTACACTCCTTGTCCGCCAGACATCTCCCTCACTTTGCACTCCTTGTCCACCAGACATCTCCCTCACCCTACACCCCTTGTCCACCAGACATCTCCCTCACTTTGCACTCCTTGTCCACCAGACATCTCCCTCACCCTACACTCCTTGTCCACCAGACATCTCCCTCATCCTACACTCCTTGTCCACCAGACATCTCCCTCACCCTGCACTCCTTGTCCACCTGATATCTCCCTCACCCTACACTTCTTGTCCACCTGATATCTCCCTCACCCTACACTCATTGTCCACCTGATATCTCCCTCACCCTACACTCCTTGTCCACCTGATATCTCCATCACCCTACACTCCTTGTCCACCAGACTGCTCCCTCACCCTACACTCCTTGTCCACCAGACATCTCCCTCACTCTACACTCCTTGTCCCACCAGACATCTCCCTCACCCTACACTCCTTGTCCACCAGACATCTCCCTCACCCTACACTCCTTGTCCACCAGACATCTCCCTCACCATACACTCCTTGTCCACCAGACATCTCCCTCACCCTACACTCCTTGTCCACCTGATATCTCCATCACCCTACACTCCTTGTCCACCAGATAGCTCCCTCACCCTACACTCCTTGTCCACCGGACATCTCCCTCACTCTACACTCCTTGTCCACCAGACATCTCCCTTACCCTACACTCCTTTTTCCACCAGACATCTCCCTCACCCTACACTCCTTGTCCACCTGATATCTCCATCACCCTACACTCCTTGTCCACCAGATTGCTCCCTCACCCTACACTCCTTGTCCACCAGACATCTCCCTCACTCTACACTCCTTGTCCACCAGACATCTCCCTCACCCTACACTCCTTGTCCACCGGACATCGCCATCACTCTACACTCCTTGTCCACCAGACATCTCCCTCACCCTACACTCCTTGTCCGCCAGACATCTCCCTCACTTTGCACTCCTTGTCCACCAGACATCTCCCTCACCCTACACTCCTTGTCCACCAGACATCTCCCTCACTCTACACTCCTTGTCCGCCAGACATCTCCCTCACTTTGAACTCCTTGTCCACCAGACATCTCCCTCACCCTACACTCCTTGTCCACCAGACATCTCCCTCACCCTACACTCCTTGTCCGCCAGAC